TTGTCTGAAATTTTCTCTCAAAACAAAAAAATGGACTTGAGGTTAAGCACAATTTATTGTTTACTGCTCAAGAAAATAAGGGAGAAAATGAGCCAACATTTAGATAAACATATACCTAATGGATCTTGAGTGTAATATATGCAGAACAGTCAAAAGATGGTTTTAAAATATTGTTTTCCCTTAGGAAGAAAGGATGTAACTAAATTTAAAATATGTTAGAGACTCTCGTGATAGGCATGTTTTTAACAAGAGCAGGTACAAACAAGTTCGACAATGGTACATTTCTTTCTCTACAGGTATGCGGTGGAATGCACTGGCAGAAGTGGGCTGGTGCTGCTTCCTGCTTTCTCTATGTTCCCACCCAGCAAGGATACAGCCTTCAAGACAACTTTTTCCCTTCTCTACCTCATGATACAAATCAAGTAACACAGCAGGGGAATTTCCACAAAAAGAATCTGATATTAACCAATGAGTAAATCTTCAAAAGCAGCAAGATACTGGCTTTGAGGACATAAGCAGAGAACCTTTTTTTTATTCCATTAAGTTTATTTTAGGTGTACATTACGATCACATTCGTTATTGGGAATTTGTACCTGTACATGATATACCTTGGTTCTTGTTTTTCCCCCATTCCCCTTCCTTCCCTTACACCCCTCCCTATCTACAAAAACTTTGTTTCCGTTTTTTCCTTCTTTTCTCATACTTCTTCTGGAGAACTTTTTCAAGGCTAGCTAAAGGCAAAAATGGTTAACTACAAACTCATGCTTGGGCCTAGGCTACAAAGTAATGCCAACAAAGAACAAAGCTAGAGAAATTAGTTACCAAGTATCAGGTTGGAGAAGACATTTGCTCTAGTCTTAATTACTGTAGTAATATATGTATGACATTGTTTCAAGGATAGGCAAGAAGACCAGAAATAAGAAGAGTCCAGAAACAGGTCTTCACACACATAATCAATTACCTGATTAACAGCAAAAACCCCTTGTGAAGAAGTGACAATCTTTTTCCTCCTCCCTCCAAGCTTTGAGGTATAACAGACAAAACTGAATATAACTGCAAGGTGTAAATATGACTTTTTTTTTTGAGACAGGGTCTCGCTAGGTAGCTCAGGCTGGCCTGGCCTTTAACTTACTATGTACCCTAGGCTGGCCTCGGAACTCACGGTGATCCTCCTGCCTCAGCCTCCTGAGTGCTGGGATTACAGGTGTGCACCACCACACACACCTGTGATTTTCTTTTATATTTAATATACTGTGAAGTAATTACTACAATCAAGCTGAGTAACATATTACTTCACATAGTGACCATCTGAGTGTGTGTGGTGAGAATACCTAGATTTACTCTCTCATAAATTTCAGGTATATAATACATTATTGTTGTTATTATTTTGTTTTTTAGAGATGGGGTTTTAGTTCACTAAGTTGACAAATTGCCCATGCTGGGGTTAAACTTGTGATCCTCCTGCCTTAACCTCCCAGGGTGCTGGGATTACAGGTGTGCACCACCATGCCATGCTCAATTTCATGTCCTTACACGACAATAAAAAGGGTAGCTTTCCAATAAACACTGGTGGTCAAATGGATGGTCATTCAGGTGAGGGAAACCATCCATGACCCCTTCTTCACATTGTATACAAATATTAATTCAACCTCAATCACAGAACTAAGAATGAGAAGCAAAACAAAACTTTAGAACAGTGTCTATGTAGTGGGAACAGTGTCTATGTACTGGGTAGGCAAAGATTTCTTAAGTGAGACACAAAAGTCACTACAGAAGGAAAGAGCAATAAGTTGGACTTCATTAAAATAAATAATTTTTGGTCACTAAAAATAGTATTAATAGTACAAAATACAGACTAGGAGATATTTGTGCTACATCTAAACAAATGACTCATACTCAAAATATACAAAGAACTCCCACAAGTGAATTAGAAAAAGGCACAAGAAAATGGGCAAATGACTTGAAAAGCTAACTCATAAAAGACAATATCCAAATGGTCCATTAAAATATGAAAATGTGCTCAACATCTTTAGTCACAGGGGAAACCATATTAAAGCCACAATGGAAACAGGTGTAGAAGTGCGCACGTGTGATTCCAGCACTCAGCAGGCTGAGGCAGAAAGCTACATAGATCCCGTCTCAAAAAACAAAACAGACCAAAAATTCCACAACAGGATACTATTATGCCTTCATCAGAAGCGCTAAAATTGTGTAAAATCCTGGAACTCTCCTTTATTGCTGATCAAATTGTCAGCTAGTTCAACCACTTGCCAAACAGTCAAGTACTCATGACCAGCAATTTCACTCTTGGGTAAAATATTCAACAATAACAGCACAATTAAAAAGAGTGAAATGTTGCCATAAACAGCAAGATAAATAAATCTCACAGATGCACTGCTGAGTGATGACTCCAATGATACATAGTGCAGGAATTGTCAAAAGCAATCTAGGATAGGTTTAGAGGAATGGTGGTCACACTGGGAAGGGGGGTACACTGCCTAGGGAAAGGAAGGAGGGAGTCTCCTAAGGTCCTCTAATGTTCTACAATTTGTCTGGGTGAAGGTTCCCTTGAGCTGTCCACTTCGCATCTGTGCTTTTTACTGTGTAAAGCTACTCACGATAACAAAGAATAGCAAGAAAAAGAATAGGCTGAAGTTGGCAGGTGACTTTCTCAACAGTAAATGCAACTTTTTTTTTTTGGTACCGGGGATGGAACTCAGGTCCTTGCGCTTGCGCAGCAGGCGGCGAAACCACTGAGCTAAGTCCCCGGCCCAAAATGTAACTTTTTTGTGTGCTGAAAACAGAATTTGTGCTATCGCTAAGCTACAACATTTTATACACATTGCATCTTTCTTGATAGAGGTCCTTGGCTTTTACCAGATTGCCTCTCAGTACGCTGGCTCCTTGATGGCAGGCATTTTGTCTATTGCTATATACCCAGTGCCCTGCCTGATATATAACATATACTCAGTACAGAATAAAATTATAAAAGGAGCTACAATCTTGGTATAATGAATATATAAATGGAAATTTACAAAGTAATTGGTAAAGGCTAATAATGATGGTAATCTGAGTTTCCTTATTATGTAGGTGTATCTTAAACTAAAACCTGAAGTAAAAATTTCCTTTGTGTGCTCAGAATTTAAGAATCTCTTAGGAATCACACTATTTTGGGCCACAGGTACTCAGAATCCACGTTAAAGCACTTCCAAGTAAAAAAAAGACCACTATGGCTCAGATGTGGTCTGAACCCGGCAAAACTTATGGAAATCTGGTTGTTAAGGTAGCAGTGCTGGGAAGTGAGGCCTTTAAGAGGGGTAAATGTCTCTCTCAGGTGACTGAATTAGGTCTCTCAAGAGTTATTAAAAGCATCCCACTCCCTCTGGACCCTCCTCTCTTGACATGCACGTGAAACTCATGCAAGCACCCCCGCCCCCCACGACACCATCCAGTCAGTTACGGTGCACCATGGGGCCTTGACAGATGTAGCTGCCTGACCTTGAACTTCCCTGCCTCCAGAACTATGAATTAAATAAACCTCTTTCTTTATAAATTATCTAAGTCTCAGGTATTCTGTTATAGCAACAGAAAACAGACTAAGACATAAACTTCAAGCTTGAAGGCACATTAGTTCTTTCAAGAGACTGTTGAGACAAAACAAGAAATGAAATTCAATTGAATTTTCTAATATCAATGAAACTATCTATTCTAAAACAGTGGTTTCCAACCAGATGTGAGTTTCTCCCTAGCCGGGGGCACATTTTAGCAACATCTGAAGACACCTGGAGGTGCTTCTGCATCCACTAGAAGGGACCAGGGATGTGCTAAGGAGCCTACAATGAATGGACAGCCCAGCCCCCACAACAAAGATCATCCACCTCAGACGTCCACAGTGCTGAGATAGAGAAATCCTGTGCCAGCACATCACCTCTGTTAAACTAAAGGACTTTATTCTTAAATATGTGAAGGAAGGAGTCTTATTCAATAAAATAATTAAAGACTCATTCAACCTTTACTTTTTCAAAAATATGAAAACTACATTTTCCAGTTATAAAGTTATACCAAATGTCATGAAACAGGACATTTAATGTAAATATCTCCAGAAGTAATAATTACATCATTTCTAAGACTCTATTAGGCACATTATTTAATATTAATATCCTCATGAGAGTAAATAAGATTCTCATTACTAAAATAAAAAGTAGAAGAGATCAAATAAACACTAGCTAAAGGTTATACTGCTAGAAATGGCACAGTGGAAATTTGAACCCAAATTATCTCCACACCCATGGTGTTCTCATTAAAATGCATTAAATTTAAATTTCAACTCAGAGGGAGATAAAAAAAAAAGCACTGAGTCAGGGGGGCAGGTGTGACTTAGTGGTAGAGTCTGCAGTTAGCATGCAGAGAGCCCTGGGTTCAAGACTCAGCCTTAAAAACAAAAAGCACCCCCCAAGTTTCTTTTCTTTCTTAGTCAAGTATGACAATTTAAACAGTAAACAGCAAAACCAGGACCAGCTATTTTGGAATTATGTACTAATGACATGTAGGAAAGAGATTAGACAGTGTCATTTTTTTTTTTTTTTTTGGTACTGGGGATCGAACTCAGGACCCTGCACTTGTGAGGCAGGCACGGTGCCACTGAGCTAAATCCCTGGCCCTAGACATTGCCAATTTTTAAAAGGAAAACCTATATTTAATATTTTTTCTTGTGACAAATAAAATTAAGCAGTTTTATTAAGATATATGCCCAAATCATCAGACACATTCTCATTCTGGTCTATTAATGAGATAAACAAAAAAAGCATATGGCCCTGTAACTTAATCTTGACAGATAACTATCATGACCCACTTTGTCACCCCGATACAATAATGTTAGATTCCTGGCAGAAGCCACTTTAAGAAAATATTCCTATATTAAATTTTGTCTATTACTTTCCTCTCAACATTTAAAGGTTATTTGTAATTCTTTGCATTAATAGAAGGAAAAATGCTCTTACCCTATTAAAGCCATGTTCATGAACATCATCAACTTCTCCATTACTAGTCACTGGAATTTCTGCTGCTGAATTTTTGGGTGACTCTTGAGCCATGGTAGACTCCTTTAAAAAAAAAAAAAAGGAGGGAAAAATGCCACACTAATATCAAATCATAAAAGGCACATAGTCAAAAGAATATATTTATCACTAGTTAATATCTACTAGCCACCAGTTTAGAACTGCAACCTACTTAATAGTTCCACAAAAAACATATAATAAAAAATGCACCTGGCTATTTTTACTGCACTCAATCTAAATTTATCAATCAAAAACAAACTCCTTTGTTGTAAGTACCAATGGGCACTATCCTTGCCTCTTAAATAATGCTGTGATAGACAACTACTTACAGCTGGAAGAAACAAACACAACAGAAAGCCAAGCTTGGCTTTTAACTCATTACTGTAGCTCTACTTTTCCTGTTGTATTTAATGGGCTTTTAAGTGAATTTTTATCTAAAGGAAGAGTTTACCCAAGTATTTAAAAATATGTAAGCCTCTTTACTAGGAGAATTAAGTTTTATACTCTGGCTTTAAAGTTCTAAAATACTACTTAAAAACATATTTGCTAATTTTGTAACCACGGAAGATACAAATATCTTTCAGAGATTAAATAATAACAGAACACTAATCACGGTTGTTAAAAAACTGCCCCATCATGATTTTTTTTTAAAGTTTGACTACAAATGAGAATCTCATATATTAAAAGAATCTTAAAAATTATTTTCTCCTACTTTAATTTTAAAACTTCTAAGTAAATAAACTAAGCAATTTATTCCATTTCTCACAAAGAACCACTGCCCTTCTTTCCTTCCCTCCCTTGCTTTTTAATCACTGTGATGCTAGAAGTGTTACATAAGCATGTGCTCATACACCCAAAATTTCAACAGTGGTGCCCACTAGAATAAAGGTCTTGTCAGAAATACTTGCTAGGGACAGAATCACTGTAAAACACAAACAAACACTGTAATATAAACCCAATCTAGAAAAACTATCTGCGAAAATAAAGGAGACAATGTCATTGGAGAAAACCAACAGAATCTAGAATCTCCACACCTCAATGTTCACAACCAATCCAAAATTAGTAGACATACAAAGGATGAAAAAAATGCAACATGTTAAGGAAAAAAATTAATCTAGTCTAAGTCTGAGTGGAACCAGATGTGGAAATTGAGTTTTAAAAAACCTACTACTATTTTCAATTAAATAAAATGAAGTATATTCAGTGAATAAAAATCTCAGTGGAAAAAAGGAAAGCTCATGGCAGCGATGTGGCTCAGTGGGAGAACTTGCCTAGCATGTGTGAGCCCTGGGTTCCATCCTCTGCACTGGGGGAAAAAACAAGAAAGAAATAGTAGAGAACAAACCCAAATCAAAATAAATTATCCTAGGTGAAGAACAGTAGAGCAAACTGAAGAAAAAAGAGTTAGAGACCTGTTAGGTGAGATTAAATGGTCCAACATAAGTGTAATTGAAATATCACAAGGATAGGAGGAAGAAAATTATACAGAAAAAATACTTGAAGAATTAATGATCAAAAATTTCCCAAATTTGTTAAGACAAAACTTTGCAGATACAATGAACAAAAAACACAATGGAAAATAAACACTAAGAAGTCCAGGCCAAGGCAGATCACAGTCAAACTAAACTATGGCTGTGTGTTTCTTAACAACAGAGTTAACACTGGAGAAATGAGTCAGGCAGTTTTGTCCTTCCAACATCATAGAGTATATTTATAGAAACTAAGACAGCTATGTGACTGATACAATGTAATGAGACCACTGTCACTGATCAAAACATTACGTGGTATGTGACCGAATCTAAAACCAAAAATAAAGAGCTAACTTTGAAAGGCGCAAGAGAAAAATAAATATTAAGGCCAGAGAACAGTGATCCAATTAATGGCTGACGTCTCCCCAGAATTTACAAAGGCCAGAAGAGAAGAGAGCATTTAAAAGTAATGAAAAAGCTTTTTACCCAGAATACTACACTCAGGAAAAATATACTTCAAAAATAAAGGGAAATGAAAACATTTTCAGTTAAAACTAAGAGAATTCCGCAATAGCAGACTTATATTATAAGAAATGTTAAAGGAAGTTCTTTAGGCTGAAGGCAAATAAAATCAGAAATACATATAAATCTTCAGAAAACAATGAGAAGGAACTAAAAGAGCAAATAATTGAGTAAACACAAAAGACTTTTCTTTTTGTCTCCTCCTCTCGATTTCTTTATAAACCATACAACTGCTGGAAACAAATACTGTAATATTACCTTCTGAGGCTCAAATTTTACCTAGATGTAACACCTATAACTATTATATCAAAGAACAAGGGTTGATGGTGAGGGAAGTATAGACCCAAAAGGCAGCAAGATTCCAACATTTGAAGTGAAGAACTATAATTAAAAGTGAAACATGAAAACTTTAGAATACAAAGTATAGGTAAATTACGAGGAAAATAAAAATGGAATTTGAAAAACATTCAAATAATCAAGTACATTAAAATGTAGGAAAAGAGGAAACATAGGGAGAAAAAACAAGGGAGAAGTAAAAAAAACTGAAAGAAGTAAAGAAAGCAGAAGTGCGAACCATAACCTTTGTCACTCTTTCAAGTTATTTCAGAGAACAGTCTGGTGAGAGGTTAGATTGAAAAGAAAGAAAAGACTGAAGGTAGAAAATCTATCTGGGAGGGTATTTTACAGCCGAGATCAGAAATAAGATCTGAATTAAAGCTGTGGAAAGAGAAAAAGGCATTCAAGTGACACAGAGGAGGTAGAAATAAGAGACTTACAGGGTGGCTGGACTGTGGGAGACAAAAGAGGAGGAGGAATGGAATACGATAAAGATGAGCTAGCTCCTCCCCATCCTCGCTTATGGCTTGGGCAACTGGAAAGATGAAGATGTTATTCACCAGAGTGGGAGAAGCAGAGATTCGGCTCACTTGGCAAGGTCAGAGGATGTACTGTGCTGCAGACACACTGAATGTGATAGTGTTTGTGGGGTTGCCTAAGTCGTCAGGACATAAGGAATTTTGAAATGCAGGTCCACAGCTCTAGATTAAGACACAGGTCTGGAAGTTGTCTTTACTGGGATGTGGAGAGCATAGAACAGTAACAGTGGAAAGGAGAGAACTCAAGACAAGCATCCTATGGAAAATTAAAAGGTAGAGGACACTGCCAAAAAGATTTAGGGACAAAGGAAAAAATAAGTTCATTATGCACACGTGTGAAGAAGATGACAGCACTGGAACTAAATATTGTTCTGCTTTATGACTTTAAACAGGAAAAAACTTATTCTGAAAATGAAAAACATACTGATAAACCAGTATCACTTTGTGCCATAAGGCAGGTACAGTAAGTTCTCAACTTACGAATGAGTTCCATTCCAAGAGAAAGTTTGTAAGTCCAACAAAGCGAGTCTCACACACCTTTGACACAAACACATAACGCGCACTGCTCTGCGCTTCCTGGCGTCTCCTCCGCAGCACCCCCTCTTCCTCTTGCTGCCTGAGCATGCACTATCGCAGCACAGCCGTGAGCCACCTCAGCGAGGTGTCTGCAGCTATGTCTGCGAAAGTTTACAAATCGAATGTTCATAAGTCGGGGACTTACCAGAAGAAGAATATTCATTTGCCAAAAGATGTACCAGCATTCTTATTATCCATTTTCTTTCCCCACAAAGAATGACCTACTTTTGGAAACATCATTAATTATAGTACTGAATAACCAACACACAAATCAGCAGAATGGGGCTCAAAAAAACCCAAAAAAACCTCCATGTAATCTGATAAAAACAGAATTCATTTGTTTTAAGGTTCATGCTACTTAAGGTCCTTGACTACGAAGTCCAATCAACTTTCTGGGCTTTACTTTTCTACAGATCCTCTACTACTAAATCTTGAACACGAAATGTACTTTGCCATCTGTGAATATTGCTTTAACTGTTCCCAATGTTTGAAATATTCTCCCATCTTTAGGATTTAGTAAAATCCTGTCCACAACTTAAGGCTCAGCTCAAATGTTCACTCTTCTAAGACTGTATTGTGTAGTGAAACATAACATTTGGGTTAAAATCTCAGCTCTATAAGACAGCAACTACTTTGTGATCTTCTTAATCTTATTATTCACATCTATAAAATTAAATATATATACACTTCAAATACTTGAAGAAATGAAGTAAAGATGTATTGAAAGCCCTTAGCACAAAGTAGACATTCACTGAACAAAGAATGATGCTTCCAGTGTGCTAATAAGTGCTTAACAACTGGTTCTCCAAACAAGCAAACAAACAGCCTTGGTCTTATTATTTGTCTAATTTTGTTATGTCAATACTCTCACTGTGGCCAGTTTCAAGGTTCTAACATGATCTCACTGAATCCACAGGCAGGAAGGGACATGCAGCAGTAGCAGTGCACCATGATACAGTATTAACAACACAGAAATACCATAGAGACAACCTCCAGAGCAGGTAACAGTAAAACACTTAGAAACTAGTATGTTTTGAGTATTGCCTTTATTTTTAATATAGGCACTTAATCAAAGCTTATATAATTTATTTATGTAACTTATGTCTATATAATTTAGGTTTTATAATTTAGGCTATTTAAAAATCTTTAAAAGCTGGCTTACAAATTCTTAAAAACTTAACCACCAGTTTTTGCTGATTGGTCAGTACAAACCAGCTGCAGCTACCACTAAACTATTTCAAAGTTAGAATATAAGTATTAGGCACACCCACTGTGTACCTAAATCTTTGTATGCAAACTTTTAAAATCCAATACATGGATATCATATTCCAGACTGTGATTTACTTGTCCAGAAATGATTAAAGCTGAACATATTTTATTTACTTTTTATTTTACAAGGCAACAATCAACTAATGTCCCTTTTCTTTCATGCTCTGTTAATTCCAAGTATATTCTAAATCCACAGACATGTACAAGGATAAAATCAGAGTGGATCAAATATTCTGAGACTGAATTCTGTTTTATGCGCTATAGAAAAAGTGCATTTATTTTCCTAATGGGTGACTGTCTCAATTCACATGTATCTGAAGGAACTTTAAAGGCCAAATTAGTTTTATAACATGAAGAGATATGCAAAACCAAAAATATGAGCATGGAACTGACCTGAAAAATTAATATGCTGTACAACCAAAACAGTGTAAGTTGAAAACTAGTTTCCTGAATCTTTTCCATGGATCAAAGTTGGGGATATATTAACAGGGCACATACCTAATAAAGACTCTGTAGTGGTGCTTTATTCCCAAAGTCCACACAAAGCCTCTAGAGGGAGTGGAATGTTTCATTCTTGTGTGCCAGTGATTCTCAACCTTCTGTCTGGGGAGTTTCTAACCACTCCACAGGGGTGATCATTTAATGATAGGTCCCAGAAAGCCCAATATAAATGGCCTATAAGGTTCTGAACTATTTTTATAAGTTCTTGGGCCGGAGATTGAGCTCAGTGGTTCCGCCTGCCTTGCAAGTGGAAGGACCTGAGTTCGATCCCCGGTACCAAAAAAAAAAAGGTCTTGAGGTGACTCTAATGTGGAGCCAATGAGAACCACTACTATAAGCATGTCCTAAACATGGGAAGAAAGCGAATATAGCAAGGTCAGCTACAACAAATAAGTATCTATCACACACATAAAAACCCAAGACTGTCTACTGTTACTTAAGGACTCAGGTTACATGCTGCACCTTCAACCATAACCTTTGTCACTCTTTCAAACAAACAGAAAATGTTACTCTTGGGAAGGATCTGCAAAATAATTTGGTTCAACTTCTCATGCAGAGTAAAACCACAAGCGAGATACACCGTACATGCATTAGAATGGCCAAAATTAAAACCGACAAAACCAAGTCTTAGCAAGCATGTGATGCCACTGTATTCATACACTGCTGGTCAAAATAAAAACTAGTTAAAATCACTTTGGAATGTAGTTTAGCTGTATTATTAAACGGATTAAATATATACCTAATAATCCAGCAACCCTACTCCTGCGAAAAACAAATCCTTATGTCTCTCAAAAGACAAATACTGTAAAATATTCAGGCAGAAGAGTGCTTATTATGGGTGGAAGAGGACTGCGTCATGTCCTTGGGGAGGCAAACATTTCTTAAACGTAAAAGGCAAAAACAGTAACAAAAACACTGGTAACCTGGGCTTCATCAAACTCAAAAGCTTCCAAAAGACATCATTAAAAAATGGAAAGGCAAGTTACAGAGTAGGAAAATATGAATGACCGATACTCAAAATATATAAATAACTCATGCAATTCTGTAAGAAAACAACTCAAATATAAAGTGGTCAAAATTTGAAGATATTTGCAGAACAAAAACACAAATGGCAAGTGAAAAAAAAGCTCAATATCACTGTTATCAAGGAAATGCAAATTAAGACCACAACAAGATACCAAGTGTTAGTGAAGACCAACTGGAATTTTAATGTATTGCTGGAGGGAATGTTAAAAAGTGCCTCACTTTGGAGAACTGCTCAGCAACTTTTTATACAAGTAAATATACAACTGACCATACAATTTATCCATTCTGTACCTAAGCATACACCAAAAAGAAAATATCCTGATTTGTATATAAGTATTCAGAGCAGCCTTACTTATAACAGCCCAAGGAGGGAGGAAAAAAGGTCCATCAACAGCTTAATGAATTTATAAATTGTGGTATATCCATACAACAGAATATTCCTCAACCACAAAAAGGAATGACATACTGATACACAACACCACTCCTGAGCAACCTCAAAAAATTATGCTGAGTCCAAAAAGTCAGACACAAAAGAATACATAATATACAACTACATTTCTATAGAATTCCAGAATATACAAAGCTGATGTGTCATGACAGATCAGTGGTTGCCTGGGAGAAGGGTGGGGAAGGAAAGGGTTGACTGCAAAAGGACAAACTTTAGAGTGATGGAAACGTACTGGATCTTAATTCTTCATGTTCTCCAAACTTATGCATCTGTCAAAACTCCTTGGGCTGTACATTTTAAACAGATGTATTTTTATTGCATGCTATGAACTGTTGATTTATTTTGAAAAAAAGGTAAATTTCCCTTTTATCATCTCTAACCCCAAATAATTTATGTTTCCTGCGAGCCCAAAATCTATCCATAGAGCAAGTCCACAGCCTGGTGGGGTGCACACACTGGCCTTGGTCACAGTGCCCACCAATGGGAAGCTCTTACTGACTCTGTGGGCGCTATGCTCTCCATCAGAAGGTACAGACAAACACACTGCCACAGGATCAAGGGTTCTTATTTTTATGCTTGAGCACAAAGGGGGAACAGAAACTCTAGGCTGACTGCAAACAAAAGTGGACAGGTTTTATAGAATCCTCAGGGTAGACAGAGAGCTGGTCCTTTTTTGAGGGGCTAGAGGAGGATCACTAAGCATTGAACCCAAGCTGAGCAATATCCACAGACTTTTCTTTAACTATTTTGAAAAAGGACTTCACTAAGTTGCTATGTTACCCAGGCAAGACTCAAATTTGCAACCCTCCTGCCTCAAGTTCCCAGAGTGCTGAGATTACAGGGATGCCACCATGCCTGGTCAGACCTGATCTCCTGTCACTGCATGCAGAGGTGGAGTTTTGGCAGCACCTGCACTCTTTCATCATGCCTCTTCATGTAACACATCTCATTACCATCTTTAGCTCTGCTTCCACTAATAAAATAAAGGTAACTTTACAGAGGTTGCTTCAGTGACTATTCTATGCATGCATTTGTTCCTTAGCACCTTGAATTTGCTCCTTATCATCTGGGGTAGGTACATGTACTGAACATACCTTAATTCTTTTTATCCCCTTCCTCTTCCCTCCCTTCCCCCTCCCTCCATCTACCCCCATCTCTGGGTCCTCTTTCCATTTGCAAAAGTTCTATCTCCCTGTTTCCTATTGTCCTTTCTTTTTTTTAAAAAAATGCTTTGGGTTTCTCATTTAAGAAGAGCTGACTTTTTATTTAACCTCTTGGTCTCCTGGTGTGTATATTAATTTTATACCCTTCAACACAGGTCCACTTTTTAACTCTAAATTCCCTGGTCCATTTGTTTGCCCCATAAAACCGGGAGCTAACTTAGCTTTCTCAAAGGGACTGACTTGCTGGTTGACTGCAACACAGCAGCAAAAAAAGCTTATCATTTTCAAAAATACATCTTGTTCTGACTTGTGTCTAGATGTCCCCCCAAAGCCTTATGCAGTCATAGGTGGGGCTTTTTCAGAGGTGGCTCAATCTAGAATATGTGACTGATTCAATGGATTAAGGGTGGGTGATTACTAAATCAGTCCACTGATTGGTTTGCGACCACCCTAATCCTGGTAGCCTGGATACAATATAAGGGTCAGAAGGAGGCGTGTCTTGTCTCTTGCTTGCTTTGCTACCTTCTGCCTTCCAGAAACTATTTCTCTTCTGCAATGCCTATCTGCCATGCCACCCTGCCTTGGAACCAGCCGATTATGGACTGAAACCCCTACACACTGTGAGCTAAATAAACATTTCTTCCTTTAACTTTGGGTGTCAGGTGTTTTGTCTCAGCAACAAGAGAAAAGTAACGAAGATACATCTCAACTACAAAAATTAGATTAAGCCAATATTCTCTCACTGTAAAAGTGACTGCTTTGGCCTGTCATTTAGAAACATATTCCCGTTGATTCAGAGCCTGAAAATCCTAAG